ACAAAATAATCATGGGATGTAAAGTATGGCATAAAGAATACAGTCAATAATACTGTAATAATTATGTACTTTTAGATGAGTATAGATTTATTGAGGCGATGACTTCGTAAGTTACATAAATGTCTAATTACTATGTTGCACACCCGAAGCTAAAATAATACTGTATGTCATCTGTAATTGAAAAATAATAAAATGGGTAGGGATTAAATGGTGAGTTGACAGGACTATTAAGAGTTGTAGTATGTCTATTTATTCAGTAACAATGGCATTTTGTCATGATCATGACATTGTGAATACATATATGCTATAGAATTACAGAATATTAAAAACTGTTTTAGGGCATCAAAATCGGGTCTTGAGTAGAAAAGAAATATGTTTCAGAAATATCCTAATTACTAATTAAAAGTAGAATAATTTCTTCTAAAGCATTTCTTGAGATATAAATCCAACTATGCTTTCTTCACTATATCTAATGTTGTGATATTTATAAGTATGCTTTTATAGAGTTTATGTGTTTTGAATAAATTATAATAACTTGAGATTATAGTAAATTTTACACTAATAGTATATTCTTCACTACCTACTGGGTTAGTTTTCTTATAGAATTATTGTATTGTTTATTTTCTTTTTAAAAAATTATTATCAGCCCTGTTCATGGATATATCTCTTTCATAATGATTTTAAAAAAGTATAGTTGAATTTCTTTTCAATATAAATATCTTTCTTTGCTATTGCAATTCAAAACAGTATTTAAAATAATCTAGTTCAGCATTAAATTTTTTCATAGATATCATATGTTATTTCTAATTATACATTTTGTAGAGCATTTAAAATGGAAAAAAAGGAAGAATCCTAAGATCACTTAGACTGCTTCATTGGTTTTATTTAGTTAATAAAAGATCTAGTGGTTTTAATAAATCTTTAATACAGGGATTTTTTGTTAACCTCAACAATACTTGCACTTGACCATCTTTATATTCAGGCTGTCTCAAGGTCTATCTAATTTTAATATTCTATAAGCCTCATAGTGTTATACTGCTAAAGGATTCACATCCAGTCTGCAGCTGTAAGGGAACTAATAAAGTATTAAAAGCATGCAGAAAGGAAAATGATAAAGTACTCAACGTAGGCATATAAGTACATTTTCATCTTATAAGTATATCTACATGGAAGGTAAAAATATAATTTTTAACACTGTTTTTAAGCATGGAGTCTGAGCAAGGGGAGTTAGTGACATAATCTTGATAGCTTTTGTCCATTACGATACTTTACTTTGGTTCATCCAATTCCTGATAGGGAAGATCTACTATATATCTACTATATATCTCAGAGAATGATATCTATAGGCAGAGGCATCTGCTCCTGGGTACACTGTTGGAGCTTTACTATAAAATTTGGAAACTGTTCTTTCTCTCATTCTCTACCCTTCAAAAATATAGCAAATAAAATCCACTAAAAGAATAGCAATTTATTAATTACCTTCTGAAATTTAAAATTGTATATTTTGACTATATTCACTAGGTTTACCCTAGATTGGTCAAAGAATTAAAAAATGACAGTTTTCTATAGATTTATGAGACAAAACCTATCAAAGCTTTTTTTTTTGGTCTTTGTTGCAAACCTGAACCCCCTTCCTTCCATCATTGCAGCATAAAGGGTGTAGAGGAACAGGAAAGTGATGTTGATGACACTTTCAGTAAGTGCAAGATGTATTTAAAATGAAGCAATAGCACTTTTGCTAATGTTTCAACAATACTTTACTCTCTAACACTGCGAGTAGACTTTTCCTTAGTATAGATTTAAGTGTGTGATGATTGTGCTAATTTGATAGTATAATTTGAATTTATTAATTCGAAGCTGCAAAAGTCTTAAGCTGTGACTGCATATAATCACATTTCATCAAAGCAAAATTTGCTTGTTGGTTAAATTACTTCATATTTCAGAGAGAGAATGGCGCTCATATATATTTACACCTTTAGATACCACTTTAAGTCTATTTCTGTGTTAACTTTTTTTTTGATAGAAGGCCTAGGAGGATTACATACTAAGCCTAATTTAGATATCAGCAAAATCTGGGGTATTCAGAGCAGAATTAGTCTTCTAAACCTCATCACCATCGGGTAAATATGAGTTTTGATCTCTCAGGGTTGCTATGTAATAATTCTAACCAACAGAGATAGGCTGTAGCAATTAAGAGAGAAAATACAAAGTCCAGGGAAGATATTTGACTGAGAAAATTGAGTTTATATCTTTAATAAGTGGCAGGCCATTTATTAGCTGTATGATTTTGGGTGAATTACTAATCTGTGCTGAATATAGTTTCTTTAATAGGTAACATGTAAATTATAGCTACTGCTCTAGTAAGGATTAATAATGGAGTACATAATAGACATTTAAAAATGTTATTTCCTACTTCTACTCTTTCTCTGTGTTCTAGGTCAGTCTAGACTTTTTTTGACTGTAAGGGAACAAGGAAAAGGATGTACATCTGTTCAAAGTAAGATTTTTTTATATCTCAATTCTTCAACTCAGTAAATAAAGCATATATAATTGAAACAAAATTTTCACAAAATAGTACTTATGTGGCATGTACTGTGTATTTTTTTTTCTTCTGAATTCTAGTTTATTTCATTAAGAAGTAACAATGTTTGAAAGATATTCCTCTAGGCCATCTTAAATGAGCCTAGTGTCTACCGTTAGAAGAAATAAAAACATCTCATTTCATTATGAGAGGGGACCTTTCCATCACCATATTCTCTTCTTTGGGTTTAAGGCTACACTTGATATGACCATCATATGCTACTAAATCATTGCTATTCAAGAGGTATTAGCACTGAATCCGGAAGTAGATTCTTTGGCAGGAAATCAAGCAGGTGTTAAATGAAAATAGCAAGACTTGAAAACTCTCCCTAGAACTTAATAGCATGATTAATTAATATTTAGTGAAATACTCTAACATCTAATGAAAGGGTCCTTATGTGTGAATAATAGTACTAGTGTATTGAAAACAATATAATATAGCATTATAGTATCCAGTAACATCTGAGACCTATTTCGAGATATTTTATAATCAGTAATTAGATTTAGGGAAGTAGGTTCTTTAACACTCGAGCAGCGGTCCCCAACCTTTTGGCACTGGAGACCGGTGCTCCTATGAGAAACTAATGCCGGATGATCTGAGGTGGAGCTGAAGCGGTGATGCTAGTGCTGGGGAGGGGCTGCAAATACAGATGCAGCTTTGCTCATCCACTCACTCACCACTTACCTCCTGCTGTGTGGCCTGGTTCCTAACAGGCCACAGACAGGACCGGTCTTCGGCCCAGGGGTTGGGGATGCTTGCTCTATAGTCTTCTGAAGCAAAACAGCTTTGTGTATGTAGCCCTGATTACCTAGCAAAAAAATATATGTATGGTTTTATTATGTTCCTTATTGGAATAAATGCCAACGCTACCATATACATATATATGCATATATATATTCATCTATATGCATATATATGTATATGGTGGATTTTCTACATTCTGAGATCTTGATATATGGCTTTAAAAATGTCTTTGTTTAAAATATATTACTTTGGGATGTATTAGTCTATCTTCTGAAGGGGAAAGAGAATGGAGATCCTTTGAAAACCTAATTATGTCACAATCATGTCACTCCTTGGCTCCATTTCCTATTTCACAATAAAAGCCAGAGTCCTATAATGGCCTACAAGGTCTGGCCCCAATCACTTCTCCCCCACCCTACCTGCTCTCCTTTACCTGCTCCCAACTCTTACTGCTCTGCAAGCATCTCATTTCACCTCAGGCACTATTTCCCCAACAGATCAGGCTCCCTCCCTTACCTCCTTCAGGTCTTTGCTCAAATGTCACCTTCTCATTGAGGTCTTCCCTGACTACTCTATTTAAAATTGCATCCTATTCCTCCCTTTCTCCCAACACACACACTTTTTAGCCTGTCCTTGCTTTACTTTTCTCCATAGCACTTATCACCATGAAGTGTACCATGTATTTATTACTTACTGTCTGTCTCCTATAAATGTAAGCACCATACGGCTAGGGTATTTGTCAGTTTTTATGCACGCTTGTATCCCCAGAGCCTAAAAGCGGTTGGCATCCGGTAAATAAAATTTTTTTGATTAATAAATGAATAAATTGTCACTAGCGCATAAAGATGTTCAGTTCTTCACAGTGTTTTTCTTATTCCACAAGTAAAAATTATTTACATGATTCTCAACGCTGTTGATCTTAGATAATATACTGCACAAAGAATCTCATACATATGCTTTTAAAGTTTCTTAATTCATATTTCTTCAGTTTTAGGAAAGTAAAACCAAAAGTGTGGCAATGTCGTGATGATAATGGCAGTGGTGATGGCGGGTAGGGGTGGAAGGTGCGGATTTATCTTTTTCAGGGAAGATGACAGGTAAAAGTCTTACATGATGCTCACAGAGTATTGTACCTGTGGCTGCTTGTTCTTGGAGTCTAGACCTAGCTCGGTTTAGGAGGCAGCTAAATAAGAAAACCGCAGGTTAACGTTTGTTCTTGAACGATCTCCTGATGCAACCGTGTTTACAGCTTTCCTGCCAGCACCCTGGGGGAGCTTTACGGTCACCAGACTCCTACAGCCTTTATTTGGTTCCCAGTCCCTGGGCTCCACGAAGGAGCGCAGCCGGCTGCGAGCCCAGCTTAGGGGCCCGGGCCTCCTTACCTGGCGGCGGCCAGGCCGCACGCCCACACCGAGCATTCGGGTTGGCCCCAGCGGCGACAGGTGAGGCGCGGCGGAGTGCCAACTACATAGCCAGGAGGCGGCAAACTTGAGGAGGAGGGTTCCAGCGGCAGCCTCGGCGGAGGCGGCGGCGAGAGCCCTAGAAGAGGAAGGCCGGGAGGCGGGGAGTCTTCCCGCACGGGGGCGCTGCCACCTGCCCAAGGGTGGAGCCAGAGCGGGACCTGGTTATTTGCTGCTCCGACGCACTGGAGTCGGGAGAACAACCGGTCCTGACCATGAAGGGCGGCAAAGGCATTGAGAACCCGGCTTTCGTCAACTCCAGCCCAGACACCCCGCGCCGTTTCTCTGCATCACCCTCTTACGTCGAGGTCTCCGTCTTGTGCTCCAGTACTCAGAGAGAGGATTCGCAGCCACATGAGCCTCAGGAGCCCCCTTTGCCTTCGGCAACACACCCTGGCTCCCGAGAGCCTCAATCGCTGTCGGAGTTCGAGGAGGGGCCGTGCGGATGGGGGAACTTCCAACCCCAGTGTCTCCAGCTCTGCAACACGCCCCAGGGGTTTCTGGTTCTCTACTGCCTCTTGGCTCTCACGCAAGGTAAGGTCCAGCGCAGGCTGGCGAGGGCATGGGCCTCGCGGAGGGCGAGGAGGGGCGCGGAGAGCTGGGAGAGGAGAGGGCTGGTGCCCTGCGGGCCAGGTGATCCACGCGCCCTGCTTGGCGACTCCGGCTGGGGACTTGCAAGTGCTCGCATCCACATTAACCAACTCGGTCCAGACTTCCACATTTTAGCTTCTCCTGTATCTCAAAACTATTTAAAACTTGCCATACAGCCTTTTTAACTTTTTTTTTTTAACCTCAGTTTGGCAGATTCGAGTTCTCCAAGGAAGGTGGAAATTACGGGAGCCTTCCTGGGGGAACGGTTTGCCCTGGGGGAATCCATTCTAATGACAAAAGCAAGCGCTGAGGAAAACTCCCGATTAAAGGGAAAGAAGGATTAATTAATAAATTATGCAGGTGGGGTTAGGGTGGTTCTCAAAGGAGAAACTTGTTGAATATGTATAGTATATAGGTTAGGTATAAGCGTTCATGTTTCTGCGTATGTTTAGTTTGAGTTCTATATGAAAACAAGTAGAGTCCAGTAAGTTAGCAAAGGCTTCAGGCGTTGTTGAAGGGTGAGGTCTTAAAAACACTCAAGAGTTATGCAGCATCTGTTTTTTTCTAGGATCTCTTTTAGTTCTCTTGGGAGTTACTGATAAAGTCTCGGATTATACCCTCAGGAGTTTGCAATCTAAATCTGGTTGGGAGGAGAGGTAGGGTAGAGAGAATTGGTCCCGTGAAAGAAAGCATAGTGAAGGCAAAAGCTGCTGCCGTGTTGCAGGAGATGAATGAAATGGGAAGTTACACTAACGTGACAAATTTAGGCATTAAGGTGGAGCATCTTGAAGGACAAGCTGAAAGTTAATTAGAATTTGATGGTATGTAGATAATTTTTGGACACTTGAATCATAGTTTTAAAATATTTTGTAAGAAGGCAATCAAGGACTGGAAGAAATACATCCCAAGAAGTATTTGGGGAAATACTTCTTGGAAGTATTGGAAATTACTCTTTCTAAGAAAATCAGAAGAATAAATCTAAATATATTTTTCCTGCTCTTATTGGAGCTCCCCTTTCTCAAAGAAACACCCTGTGCCTTGGTTTGCACAAGTTAGGTGTTAAGTATTTGTTGATTACAAGTAAACTGCAGCTCTCCTACTAAAGGTGGTTTTGTGCTGAAGAGCCATTTGTCTTTCTTGTCCCCACCAAAGTTCACCTTCTCATAATGTCTTGATATTAGTTGTCCAAAATCCATGATTGTCAAGCATCTCAGTGTCAAAGTAATGGAAAGTTCAAAGAAGCTGGACACAAGTAAAAAATTTCTTGTTTTGTGTTTCATCTTAAAACATACTCTGAAATTTCTATATTATCCTAGAATACATCATTTTATGTTTAACATAAAATATTTTAATAAATTATCAAATGTAATTGGCAGTCTTAGAGAAATGTGTCAGATGTACCCTGGAGATACGTCTACCCAGAGGTCCCCAATTTAAGAAACATAATCTGAAATGAAAGTGACCCAATAAATTAATTCTTGTTTCAGTTTAAGTTTTAATGACTGAGGTCATTATTACCATGTTTCTCAAACATGGTCTTTGGGAGTTTTCATGGTATAGTAATAGGTGTTTATTGAGAAAGGAACAACTACAGAACTTGTCAAGGGAGTTTACTTGACCCAACATTTCTTATAGATAAGCAGGATTTCTCTTAGCACTTAATTTCTTCCTCCTAGCTTCATGCACTTATGATGGAGGGACATAGTACGCAGGACATGGTATGGAATTTTCTTTGAAAGCAGAGTTCTTGGAACTTCTGTAGCATTCCAATGTGAATTCGAACTCATAGCCTTAAAGTGCTATACTTCCACAAGAGGTTACAAATTTACTTTTTCAGAGAAGTTTTACCATAAAGGCAATGAGTGCTAATGACTGACTTTTGATCAGTATGACAAGTGTGTTGGGAAGTTGATATTTGGATGAGGAAATTTTCGTATTCTCAGATAACTTTATCTCCTTATAAGTCTGTCATTCCTAAGTTCTTTTGATACTTTATCTTGAAATATTAGGAATTGTAAATGGGCTTATAGACTTATTAAACTGGCATAAGAGTAAAAATCATGTTAGGACTTTTAAAACTTGTTATATCAATTTCCTCGAAATATATTTCCAGTTACAGTCTTGATAAAGCAAAGTTTAAAGAAATTGTAGAGATCATGGCTTGTGTATACTCTTTCTGTTAATGAATGAAATGTATCCTCTTAAGTAAAAGGGGTAACTAGTTTAAAACTTTATAATTTGATCAGATGCTTTTTATTTTCAATTTATAGTAATATTTAAACTGTAAATTTAATCTATATCTGGACAGAATTTTTAAGTCAGTTGAAACTAGATTTCCAGCTTTTTCTTGTTTACATTATGTGACTCCATCATAATTATAATAAACAGATGAAGTGTTAAGTATCTTTGTTTTTCTTTTACTTTGGCTATGATTTAGAATGTCAGTGGTTTAAATAAGACTCTTAACTTTATGTTTATTTTTGCTCCAGGACCTTTTAAGTGATAACTTTTGTGTATATAAGTGTTAGAAGAAAAATGAGGTTTGAGAGTTCAATTTCACCTTTCTTAAGACTAAGTCAAGGATCTCTTGTTAAAGAGAAATATGTTTAAAGATTGAGTAACTTGGGAAGCAATTGAGCGTTTAACTCAAATGACCTCTGCAGTCAGCTGTCCTTTTGTGCTTTCAAGTGAAGTCCCTGAGAATGAGAATGTTACATTTGGAAACTCGCTGGCAAACCGAGGCTTCATAAGACTTTACCAGTCTTTTTGTTTGTCACTTAAAGAGAAATGAAATTTCTCTTGATTGAATACCTGAAAACTCATAAGTGTACAATTTAAAAGCAGACTAATTTGTAAGGAAGTATGTTTGGGTTGCCTGCCTTTGAAACTTTGGGTCCTTTAAAATTGGTACATTTAAAAATATCAAAAGTCACCACCAAATGTTAGTACATTGTGTTAATAATCATAATCTGTATGGTAAAGTTGTAATAATGCACAATTTCCTTTTTTCTGTTTTAGGTATTGTAGTAAATGGCCTAGTAAATATCAGCATTTCCACTATTGAGAAGCGCTATGAAATGAAGAGTTCCCTGACGGGTCTGATATCATCAAGCTATGATATCGCATTCTGTTTGTTGTCTTTATTTGTATCATACATTGGTGAAAGAGGACACAAACCAAGATGGCTTGCATTTGCATCCTTTATGATAGGACTGGGAGCACTTGTATTCTCATTGCCAAAATTTTTTAGTGGAAAATACCAGTTGGGATCCCCTTTTGAAGGTAAGTTTCTATTGTGTTTTTGTTTGTTTTACTTTAGGAAGTAGTATGAAACTAGGCAGTTAACTATATTGCAACTCACTTGTACAGGTAAGTAGGGTAAGGGCTTAAGCCTCTTTCACTGCTCACTGTTTGGCTTTGTTGTGATGGAAATTGTGCGAATTAAGAGATTAGAGACAGATGGTGCATTATTCATCACTTCACTAGTTCTCCAATTTATTAATCCTCCGATACTCATTCCCCATATTACACACAATCCTCAAAAAGTGATGACTTATTTTTCTTTGTGATTATAATGTCATTGATATTCTAAGGTAAATTGTTTTTCTGTTTGTGGTTTTATTGGATGTGCTTACAGCTCTGTACCCAGACTTGTTGGTTCCTGATTTGAGTTAAAGAGGTGAAATTTATAGGAGAACTGAAGCTTTTCCTAAGAACTGGCTCTACTTTTATGACTGTCTAGTTTAGAGACACAGAACTTTGTGAGTTATCTAATGTGTTGTTCCAGTTAGACAAAGAAGCATTATTCAAAGGCTCAAAAAAGAAATTTGATTATTTGTATTTCTTTTTTTCCCAAATAATAATTTTGTTTTTTAATAGAAAAGCAATTAAAGCCAGAGGAATGTGCTAATGAAAGTAAACCTTAGCATTTCTATTGTTTTTTCTGGAACTTTTAATAACAAATATAGAATAAAATTAGAAAGCTACAAAATCAGAAGCTTTCAAGGTGTAGGTAAGTGGCGAAAAGGCTTAGAGTAAGAGGAAAGGAGAATTGGGGCCTGATGCAACATAGGCATTATTTTTTAAAAGTTAAGATTGTTATATTGTGAGATTTAGTATTGAAAATATTAAAGTGTTAACATTTTCCAATTTCCCAGTTATAGAATGATAACAAACAGGAAAATATTTTAAATAACAAAATTTATATTATGCAGCATGGTTTTAGGAGTACAGTTATTATGTAAACATATATCATTTTGGAAATAAAAATAGAATATTCACATTATTGTATACTGTGCAACTTTTCACCAAAATCTTACTGATATTTCTTATTGTCTTAGTTAAAGTAGATTACATAGAGGTATTGGCTGATCTGTAAAATTTTTGCTCTCAATTAAGACTCGTAATTTAAATAATAGCTTATCTGTGGCAAATGAAAACAAAAACAAGGTTGCCTTTATGATAGTCTGTCATTCATACAATGAGTATTTGTTGATATGAACTATACATGTTGCTGAGATAATAGCAGTGAAACAGTTTCATGCCATCTAGATTTTATATACTAGTGGGAAGACATACAAAGTTAACAAACAAATAAACAAGATAATTGAAGATTGAGGTTAATATATAAAGAGAACAAGTAGTATGGAGTAATAATCTACAAAGGAGAAAATATGTGGGCAATGGGAAGGCCATTTTGATAACTGGATAATGAGGACTAGCCTTGAAAGATACTTTCCAGGCTGGAGAAAAGCATGATCAAGGGCCTTCAAGCAGTAAAGAGCTTGCTAGGTTTTGGGGGTTGTCAGTTTGGGTCAGCATGATCAAAGCAAGGGAGAACATGGCATGAGGTGAGCTTGGAGAGGCAGGTAGAGGCATGAGGCACTTAGATTTTCCTTTAAGTGTAATGGGAAGTATGAGAGAATTTTACACAGGGAAGTGCATGATCTTATTTATGTTGTAAAATGATCATTTTGGCTTCTGTTTTGAAGGACAAGGTTAAATGTAAGGAAGTCACTCAGGGTTTTTACTATAGTCCAGGTGAGAGAGAAAGGTGGTTGGGACTGGGTTGATAGCAGTAGAGATCTAGAGGAGTGACTGATTTTTCAATGTATTTTAAAGGAAGAAGAAATAGGACTTTCCAGGGAATTGATCGTGAGGGAAGAATGAATAATGACTGCTTGTATTAGGCTTGACTAACCGGGGGCTTTTACTAGAATGTGGAAGACTGGCTAGAACAGAATTGGGAGTGGAAATCAAGAATTCAGCTTTGGATTTAAGTATGAACTGCATATTATATATCCAGTGTTGCAGTATATATCTTTGAACATATATGTTTACATAAATATGTAAGTCATTCTTTAGTCTTCATTCCTAGAAGTACAAATACTGGGTTTTTTTGAAGGGCTTCCTCATTATAATTTTTCATAAATAACGTCACACCAACTTTTAACTGCCAGTTATTCTCACAGTCAATATATGAAAATGCAGTTGCTATTTTGATTTTTTATATTCTTTTTATCTCTGAATGTTTCCTTTAATAGAAATATTGTGGTGTGTTTGTGTGTATGTGTAGGTGTTTACAATATAGCAGAAACAAAACTCAGGACTGAAGTTGCATTACAAATCTAAAAACTTAAGACATTTAGAAACATAAGGAATGTTAGAAATCATAATCTCCCTCCCCTGTTTTTTTTACAATGTAGACTCTTAGGACAAGAGCTGAAATGACTTAATAGTGATTGTATAGATGGTCAATAACAGCTGAAACTAATACTAGTTTTTATGCTTTGTTTAATGTTTTTCAAATTTTTATTTATTACTCGTAGTAGGTTTTTAACTGTATAGAATTATTGTAATATTTTTATGAATTTTAACCACTGCTTCCCCAATTTTAAGTAGCCAGTTATAATGGTCTGTGCTTTCTTTAAAATATACATTAACTTGTCTGCTCCAGTGAATTAATCCACTTTTGCAAATATGGGGTCCTGTAACCAAAAATCTGAATTATTTGTCCAAGTTTAAGGATAATGTAGAAGAAAGCTGGAGATACATGTGGTAAAAGTAAACAAATGAGTTGAAAGCATTCTGTAAATAAATTATAAGCAAGGGAATGTACAGTCTTCTTAGGTAACATAATATAAATAGCCCAAACAGCATAACATTAAGAAATTATTTTATTAATTGAAATCATACATGTAATTTAATTCGAAAGTATCATTGAAATAATTAACATATTCCCTGTGTGCTTTTTTTTTGTTGCTGTTGTTTTCGGATTCGAAGGAAATCAGTCGGGGCTCAGTTTGGATGAGTAATCTCTGTAAGAGGAGATTAAAGTAATGTAATATAGTTGCTAAATAGAAGAAAACAACATATGAAATATCATAAGCATGTCTAATTTCCACAGATGTGAGAAAAACAAGATTATGAGTTAGCGAAAAAATATAAAAGTGTCTTTGGAAACAGCTCGACTTTTCTATTCTGGATTTTTTTAAGGGAAACTCTTATGGAGACTTAAAAGTTAGGAGCGATTATTTCACTTTGAATGGAGATAAAAACATTTATCAAAGGAAAGTGTTGGTGGTTGTTATTGGATACAAAAAAAGGAAGAATTAAAAGAAATGCTTCTAGGGGTTAATTTTTGCATATGTTAACCCGAAAATGGAATAATGTTATAAAACATTTTCAAGTAAATCATATTTGCCACTTGATATATTTTAACATAAAATTAACATAACATTTTAATATCTTTTAAATATTTTTAAAATGTAATAAATAAATAAATCTTTACCACATAACATTTTTTCATCCAAGCACCTTTAATTCCTTTCGGATGAGTGTTAATTTAATGTTGTTAAGCAAAATAATCTTTTCTCTCTTTGAGACTTTGGGTAGGGGGTTATTTAGTTATTAGTAAATACTTAAGAATTGTAGAAAAATAATTACTACATCCAGTAAAGCTCCTTTTCTCTATCGACCAATCTTTGGATAACTTTTCCTAAGTCATATTATTTATTTTATTTTTTTTCACTATCCCTTTCTCCCCAAAAAAGAGAGCTCTCAACACTTTCCATTTGCTTCAGCACTGAATTTCTAATGTTGTAGATTGGTATTTCCGAGAGAATTCCACACCACAGGACTTGTGACTACTTACAAAGGTCAAACTAGGAAAATGATTAGAGCCAGACTCAAAGTTGGACTTAATTTTTAGTTACTGTTTTGTCTTTTATCTTGTACTCTTAAGGAGTTTTTTAACATGGAATGCTTGACTAGATTGGAGAAGATATACATAAGGCCAAAAACCTTAGAGGTTTTCAAACACTAATTCAATACAGCATGCTTTAATTTTGCTTTTTTAATTTTGCCTTTCGGTGTTCTTTCTTGATATTACTTCTTTCTTGTGGAAATCACTTTTTTATATGTATTTTAATTTTATTGTAACAAGTGAATAAAGAGGAGGGGTGACTTATTAGAAGACATAATGGTGTAATAAAACGAATTATTTGTTTTAAAATTTAATACACACAATAAAAGAACTCGAGCTAGTCAGTGCTCCAAGTGAAATTATCACCGTTTTTAATATCAGAGGTACTTCAGTCTTCCCCAACTTCCTAGATAATATGAATTTCCCTGGATGGTTGCTACCTTTATTTAGTGCCCCATTGGAGATCCTAATTCAGTAAGTCTAGAGTAGGATTCGGGAATTTATATTTTTAAAAAATTACCCACATTCTTATCAGTTTTGAAAAATACACGTCCAATGTAGAGTTTAATTATTTTGTAAAGTTTCAACTGTGGGCATAGAGAGAAAGGTTTTTTATTTTCATTATTGCTTTGTATCTTCCTTTAAAATATTAATTTCATGACTATCATGAAATACCAGGTACCTTAATATAGATAGTTTTGTTGAAATTCAAATGACCGAACTTCTGAAATAGTGGAAACTGACAGAGAAAGATAAGTAGGAAAGCATGTGTCAATGAGATGTTAGTACAAACTCAGTTCTGCTCACAGCTATAGTTTGCAGATAGGTAGACGTTCGAAAGATCCGTGGCTTTGACCAAGAGAATACGTCTGAGCATTTTCCAAAATATATTCTGCAAAGCATAGTTTCTGAAGGTATTACGAGTGTGTTAAAAAGGTGTTCTGTGGCTCAACGAGTTTGGGAAAAATTGAAAGTTAAAGAGATGTCTCTATTACATTACTGTTAAGGTGAATGCATTTTGTGACTCATTAGCTAGGTAAATGATATGTAGGGTTCTGAACTTATTGACAAAGGGAGT